CAGATATTTCTAAATGGATTTAGATAAAGATACAGTTGTTTATTATACTTATGTAAGGTTGGCATAATGCTAACTTTAGAATTCAATTTTTTTAAGTTTAAAATTCGAAGTGAGTTAAAAAAAATTATTGAGCAGATATCACATCCGTATACAAATATTGAATTAAAATAATGATTGTTAGATTTTAATAAATCTTATCCACAAATATATAATTTGACTTGATATCTTTTCAGAGATTGCCTAGAAATATTATCTAAATATAAAGATATATATTTTTTATAATTATATAAATTATTAATACAAATATTTACCATGTTACCGTCATCTATTGCGTAAAATAAATATTTTCTGGTTTGTTTTTTTTAAATAAATTAAACTCGGAGATATTTTTTTTTAAATGAATTTAATTTCAAATATTATTATTTGATTTTATGAGTTCGGCTACCAAATTTAAAAAAACCAACGATTTCATCTCTTTCGAAAGACTTAATTTGTTCAATTATGTTTTGAACTAATATTTTCTATATGGAGGATGGTTTTCAATGCAAATGCATCACGTGATTTGTTCGAATGATGAGTTTAAATAATTTTGTTTGTATGATATTATTGGGACTTTTAAGTTAATCAATATTTAAGGATAAATCGAAAGTCAGGGGATACTCTAAATGGTTTGTAATCATTTAAGAGACTCACACAAAAGAATTTAGACCAAAATTCAGCAACCCTCCCACCCTTAAAGTAATTAAATTATGTCGGGTATAGGCTTTTGTTTTGCCCAACTTTTTTTCATCCTATGGACGTTAAAATATCAGTTTTCGGGATTGTTGTGCATACAAGTATGTGTGGCTTGCCCTTTAAACGGATAATTATATCAATATGAATCCAAAATGTCTCGAATAGAGATACCGATACCTCTGAAATAGTATCTTGATAAAATACATATTTATTATTTCTAATATTTTAACATACCTGATTATTAATGTATCACAGCTATAACTCTTTCTGTTTATAAATTGTTACATTTGGGGTGTAATAAAAATTCTGATTGAGGGAACACGCCTTTTTGCATTCACTTCACTGTCAGAGAATACTTTAAACGTGTGGATTAGTTAAAAGCGGATTTGCGTTTTTCCTTCTATATATCATTATTTTAATAAATTATTTCTATTTTACCCAAACCAAACTCACTATGAAAAATTTTTATGATTAATATACTTCGATATAATAATTTAAATATGTATGTATATATATAAAATTTAATAAAGCATAAATATGTCGATTAATAAAATTCAGATAAAATGAAAATATTGTGTTTACCAATTTTTTTAGTCCATCTTCAAATTTGCTCTCAATACTTAAAATAACTCAACAAATTAGTTGCTACTAATCTTCTTTTACTCTTGCTAAAATTTGATAGACACATTTCATATAAATTTAAGTGTCTAATTTAGACTTTTAATTCAGCATTTCAAAGGTTAGTTTAATGTCTATTATATAGTAAATTCTAATTTAAATATATATTATTTTCTTTTCTCATATATATTAGGTGAACATTAAAGCTTTTCATGCTAAGTGCCGGGAGTTTTACGAAAAAATTTATATATCCCTCAAATATCTAAGCAACTTTAATATGGTATTATATTGTTTAAATGTCATTTAATTATATGATAAAAAAATATAGCCTTTTTCATGCAAAACTACTCTCGATCAATGTGTGACCTATCTAATCAACATACAAAGCATTTTCAAAGGACTGAACTATGGTAAAATTTTATTTTCATGTTTAACTTATCATTTATTAATAGTTAACATAAATATAGGATAGCTAATTTTTAGATTAATAAGCTTTACAATATAATATTTCTTTTCTCCATAATATATTTTAAAGTAGTACTAATCAGATATTAATTTCTGAAGTAGTTTCTTCTATAAATCCATTTGGTCGACTGTTAAATTTTTCGCATAAATGTGATAATCAATTTCACTTTTAGATCCAACCTTTATTATAAATTCTATTAGCAGTGGAAAAATTACTGCAGTACTTATCATTACCCTTCATTGTCTCAACCTATTTTATAGCCATGGTCTTCTTTTAAAAAGTTTGTTCACGCGTTCTCCATATCTCCCGTCATTACTCTTTACTAAATATGAATTGTCGTGTTCTGTAAAATCTGATCTAAATATATATTAAAACCAAGTAGCAGTTAAGCCTGGTGAGCGTTCTGTTATTCACAGATTTATCATGTCGTTTACTATTAAACTATCCCATATCTTGCCTCCTTAATTAATTATCTGAAGCGACAAAATATCGAGTCTTCAGCTAATATATTTAGCATAAGAAACCTTTTCCTCACAAGTTATAAATTGTTATTTCTTTATCAAAATTTATAATGAGTTGACTTTAAACGATTTTCAAACTCCCGAAGTCCTATCTGTGTAAAGGAGATCATTCACGTGATTTGCTCGTAATATAATTCTTCTTTTTAAATGAAATATTCCTTGATTATGCCTAAGGTTTATATAAAGAATATAGCCTCTTTGCCAATATTCACTAATGTGGTAGTAATGAAGGGTAAAAAAATATTACATTTTATGAATACGAATATTTATTGCCTTCGGCGACTACATGACAGAATATTCACTGTAGCGAACCCGCCTCAAAAATCTATCCTCCCCCCTATAAAATTTCCGCCGCCTACGGCAGTATATATAATTAGTTAAACCTTTTTAATTATTATAATGATGCTTCCTACATAAATTTTAAAAAGAATAACAAATTATTAATACTCTACTACTATTAAAATATTGTGAAAGTAAAAGTTATGTTAAAACACGAATTCAATTATAAACCCCTGCATTTACATAAATTCATTATCATAGTTCTCCAACCCTTTTAAATAAAAAGTGATTCAGAAATTAATTTATTTCGAAAATAATGTCTATGATTGTTTGCAGTACGTAGATTTGGTTGATGGTTATATTGTATTATAATAGGTCTATAATAAAATTATTAATTTTTATAGCAATATCTTTTGCCCTATTTCATCTAAAAATTTAATAGAAAACCCCCCAATAAAACTATTCTACCCCTAATCTAAGCCTCTTATAGCCTACTCACTACCCCTCTGCCTCAAAAAAATTGGCAACCTATTCCTACCCTCACCACTCATTTAAACACTGATTGCCTTTTGATGAATAAGTAACCACTATAGAAGCGTATTGTGCATTCGATTTAACTAATGCGCCCATTCAATTATAATATTCTATGAAAGATTGCCCTTTCAACCAAAACTCGAGAGTTACATCTTCCGATCTTTTACTGTCCAAAATATTGAATCCAACTCATTCTAATTAGAAGGAATGTTGGCTGGCAATAGTGTCTTGTGAATTAGGTAAGCCGGAGGACGCGAGTACCTACCCTTATATAGAAGTGTAAGGAATGTGTATTTAAATGTCAACCAAAGTGTTGCAAAGTTTGTAATATCCATAATTGTTAAAGTACTATCAATATTAATATTTTAGTTGATTTAAAATATAAAATGAAAAAAAAAAAAATATTAAAAAATAAACTTTTTCTTTATCTTCTATATCCTTATAAAAAAAATGTGCAAATAAATAAAATTTTAATTTTTATAATAATAATAATAATGAGAACAATTTAGAATGAAATATTTTGGAGTGGTTTCAGCTGCTCTTTAAAATTTAGAAAGATGCTCAAAAAATTTGGAAGGGGTGAGACTTATGTTTTACCATAGCCTTCCATGCAATACACTACTATTAATAGTTATCGTTGCTAAATTGTATCCACTTAATGTTGTGATAATCCATTAAATAAATATTTAAAGCATTTACTGTTCTAGTTCCATTTTATTATTTAAGTGTATAACACTATATTAGGCGGAATGTTTTATAATGCCAAGTTTTGTGGAATAAATAAGTTGAATAAATAATCAAAGATCCCAAATATCATGGTTAGCTTAAACAGCATTGCAAAATTAGGGATGCAATTAAATAACGAACTCTAGTGTCTTTTTTTGAATGTAAAATATAAATATGGATAAAACTTTATATAAAAATATATTTGAAGACAGAGTCCAGACCTAAAAAAAAATTGCTGAATATGCTTTATGTTAGACATGAAAAAATTTATAATTATTTAAAAATGCAGGAAATTATTATTTTTTTATTGCTTGAAATATATTAAATATTTGTAGAAGTGTTCCCTATTAAAGAAACTTATAAATAAAAATAGCTTCTAAACTAATTTGCCTAAACATACATGCACAGGTTTATTCAATCTTTAATATATACTCACAAGGTTGTTAATCTTATGGAATCGATTGTGCAAATTATAATTATGATTGATGCTATTGCTATATGTGTTAGATAGTTAACCTCACCCAATTTATATTAATCATAAATATATATATATATATATATAAATCATGTTACCATATCTAATTGACGAATATAATATCATAAATAAATATTTTATTGCAACATATTCCTACATTATTACAGCTTCTGTTCTAAACTTAAACTCCTCTAAATTGTATTATTCAATTCATAGACTCTTTGCCTACAATTGAAAATTTGCGAACGTTTCAAGATGATTGTGAATTAAAGGGAACTAAGGATGCCATTCGAAATATAATCTATTATTTAGTAAATGTTAAAAAATTGCATCCAAATGATCCGAGCATAAGAGCATATATTAAATACATAAAGGTAATTAAATATTTATTACTTATTGACAAAAAATAATAAAGGAAAATTGTATAGAAAATGATGATCCTAATGGAATTATAAGAGAAATATTTTATACTCTAACAATCTCAAAATAATATACATAAAACAGAAATTATAAAAAAACATTATCTTGTATTATAATTATTTCTGATATATTTTTCTTATATGTTGATCTAAAGATAAATAAATATTTTGTGTTTTTATTTATCATGAATTTTAAATCACACATTCATCAAAAATGGGATGTAAAAATTTAAAATTAGGTTAGTTGGGATGTTTGATACGTTAACTCTTAAATTAAGTTTCATATTATGCTTCCTTTCATGCTTTACAGTATCCGTCTTATCTATGTATTGCGAAAGAGAAAATTGCTATGATTGTAAGTTTTTTATTTCTTAATAGGTCACGATGACTTAATCATATTTAATAGTATTAAAAGTTACAAGAAGCTCATCAAAAGTAATAGATATTTTATAATCATATCAAGTTTATTAAAAAAAATTAACAGTCGGAAATTTCAAAAAGTTATAGAGTATTGGCAAAAGAATATCATCCAGATCGTCACAAATCTCAGGTGATATTAATTTAATATTATATTATATTTGACATCATGTTTAGGAAGACAAGGATAAATATGGAAAATTATTTATGCAAATTGCTCAGGCTTATGAAGTTTTTAATTTAAAAGCATTATTCAAATGTTTATATAAATTTTAGGTACTCAAAGATGAAGAAACACGTAAAGAATATGATTATATGTTGGATCATCCTGGTACATTATTATATCAACTGAATTATTAAAAATTACAAATTTTAGATGAATACTACAGAAATCATTATTATTACTACAGAAGAAGGTATTCTCCTAAAATGGATGTTAGAATTGTTATCGCTGTTATAATTGCAATAATATCTTTAATACAGGTAATTGTGTTTATTTTTTATCATAATTTTAATTAAATTAATGAGTAATTTATAGTTATAAATGATTTTTTTATGAAAAACTTCATTTATTATTATTTTGTCCTAATTATATAAAATTTTATTTAGAACCCTATTTTGAACTAATTCTGAGCATGACCTAATGTTTTTTATATTGGCACCACAATACAGTATGTCTCACATCACATACCTACCCTTCCCTTATATAAATAATTTAGAATATTATAATACTAAATATTATGGTTATAGGGTACAATATTTATTTTATTCATTCCTAATTTACAATTTTCTACAAATCACTCCAACTCATTCATATATCTTAGGGGTCTGCAAATGGCATAATTTTATGACCTGGCCTAGCCAAGCCTGGTTTCAATATTTTGCAACTCGGGTTTTAAAAAAATTTAAATACAGGGCCTAAACCAATATATCGGTTGTGAACACCAAAATAACAACTATATAATATTGAAACACTTTATGAATTATCATTTCGATGAAATATCAGAATTTATCAAATATATCTATGTTAGCGTTAATGTGTTTTTTCTGGCAATGTGTAATTTTTTTTCAACTTTAAATCATTTTTTGAGCACGATTTTTTTGATTTTACCGGAAATATATTCCAGCATGTTTAGAATACCTATCTTATGAATTGTAGAAAATTTTATCAATAATCTTTGAATCATTTATAATTTATATGAATAATCGATGGAAAAACTAATATAAATTACATTAAGTTTAAAAAGTTCATGATAAAATTATCTGAAATTCATAGCTAAAATCAAATATTTAAATTCAAAAAAATTGCTCAAAAAATGATTAATAAGTTGAAGAAGGTGCGATTTTTTAAATTTTAATGATCTAAATCCTTTTTTTGTCCGGAAACCTGTTTTCCCACCATTTTATATTTCAGATAAATTTTATAAGATATTACACACAACTTGACTAAGGCAATTCGGGACTTAGCCAGGGTTGCCAGATGTCATGATTTAGTCTTTCCTGCTCAGCTGTTTAATTTATTTTGGTCCAGCCCAAATAATTTTTATTCAGATGATGGGCAGAGAATCAGACTGGGCTTTGTAGACCTCTACTCTTTCTGCATAAGTTAACTTTCCTGAAGAAGTGTAACCTAATGGATTATTAAAATCCTAATTGGTAAAATCTTTCCACAATATGGAAATTTCTCCCACATAGAAATATTTTAACACCTAAATGTATTTTATATTGAGATTGAGAGATTGTTACAATAAAAATCTGTTTCATTATTTTGAAATGTTATCAAATTGCTAGTTTCAGTGAGGAATGACATGACATTCATGCAATGTTTTGAATTAGATATTGCTAAATATTTGAAAACAGGAAATCACTGATTGTGAATGAAAATCAGTAGCATATCCATAAATAAACTATCATAGTTAGTGTTGCGTAATCGGCTAATTTTAGCCGACTATAAAATGGCTTAGCCGAGATTTTAGGTGAATAAATCGGCTAAGCCTAAAAATGGGCTAAGCCTAAATATTGGCTAAAATAAATTAGTCAAAAATTCTGCATCAATGCCTAGCATTAATTATTATTTATTTATTTTAGTAAAATAATTTATTTTATTTATATTTAATGTAAATATTTTGAAATGAAAATAAATTTATTTATTTGATGTTTTTTTAATAAAAAAAATAATATGCTGCTATATTGTAAAAATGTAATATTCTTTCTAATATAATTTATTAGTAATTTTCACAATCTTCTTTGTAAATACATCTTTTATTGAGGAATTATATTGTAAATTTTATTAGATAAATAAACAATCTTTTAGGTGAAATATAATTTTTTTTATCATTTTTTTAAAATTATCTATTTTTTATTAAATGAGGTGGATTTTATGAAACTTTTTTGATGTTATTTTATATGATCTTTTTAAGGTTAATATTTTAATGTGACAATTGTCATAATCGTTATTTTATAAGTTTTTTGAATTTTTTTGAAGAAAATATGTTAAAATAAGTATTAATAAGATGTTTAAATAAAAATTTAGTGAAGATATACCAATGAAAAGTGACAATTGTCATAATCGTTATTTTTAAAGATTTTTGAATTTTTTTGAAGAAAATATGTTTAAATAAGTATTGATAACATGTTTAAATTAAATTTAGTGAAGATGTACCGTAGAAAAGTGACAATTGTCATAATCGTAGTTTTTAAAGTTTTTGAATTTTTTTGACATAAATAGGCTAAAATAAGTATTGATAACATATTTAACATAAAACAACATTAAAAATATCCAGGACGGGCCGGCCCTGAATATATAAAGTACGGACTAAAAATCCTGGCCAGGCCTAATTTTTTTAAAGGGAGCCGGGACGAAATTTTTATATTTTAAAAATTAGGGTCATGCAAATAACATCTCTACTGTTATCTCATAAATTAATTATTTACAAAAACCACATTTAAAAATTCATAAACAACACTTAATATGAATAAAAATCACTTTTAAAAATATTTAAAAAAAAAAATTTATTAATATTTACATCAAATTTTATGAAAAAATAGAGAAAAAAAGTCGAGAGAATAATTGATTATTTATCAATCAAATTATCTTTAGCTTAAAAAAAATAAATATTTGTATTTTAATTTCTTAACCAAAATTAAATATAGCATTAATTTTAACCCATTTGCTTCAAAAAACTTCAAAATAACGATTATGACAATTGTCGCTTATCTAGAGTACATCTTCACTAAATTTTTATTCAAACATGTTATCAATACTTATTTTAACATATTTTCGTCAATAAAATTCAAAAAACTTTAAAAATAACGATTATGACAATTGTCACTTTTCTACGGTACATCTTCACTAAATTTTATTTAAACATGTTATCAATACTTATTTTAACATATTTTCGTCAAAAAAATTCAAAAAAACTTTAAAAATAACGAATATGACAATTGTCACTTTTCTACGGTACATCTTCACTAAATTTTATTTAAACATATTATCAATACTTATTTTAGCCTTATTGACGTCAAAAAAATTCAAAAAACTTTAAAATCTACGATTATGACAATTGTCACTTATCTATGCATCTTCACTAAATTTTTATTTAAACATGTTATCAATTTTAGCCCATCTACGTCAAAAATACTTTAAAAACTACGATTATGACAATTGTCACATTAAAATATTATCCTTAAAAAGATCATATAAAATAACATCAAAAAAGTTTAACATAAATATTTTTAAAAAATTATTTAAAAAAAACACCCTCATTTAATAAAAAAAATAGATAATTTTACAAAATTGATAAAAAAAATTTATAAAAGTTTTCACTTAAAAGATTGTTTTTTTATCTAATAAAATTTACAATATAATTCCTCAATAAAAGATGTATTTACAAAGAAGATTGTGAAATCACTAATAAATTAAATTAAAAAGAATATGATATTTTTACAATAGCAGCATATTATTTTTTTTATAAAAAAACTTCAAATAAATACATTTATTTTCATTTCAAAATATAACACTATAAGTAAAAAATATTTACATTAAATATAAATAAAATAAATTATTTTACTAAAATAAATAAATAATAATTAATGCTAGGCATAGGCATCGATGCAGAATTTTTGACTAATTTATTTTAGCCAATTTTTAGGCTTAGCTCATTTTTAGGTTTAGCTAATTTTTAGGCTTAGCCTAATTAGGCCTAGCTGATTTTTAGGCTTAGCCTAATTAGGCCTAGCTGATTTTTAGGCTTAGCCTTTTTAGGCTTTGGCGTAGTTTTTAGCCGATTACGCAACACTAATCATAGTATAAAATATAAAATTTTTTATCCAATTTAAACATCCAAAAAATAATTTAAATTAGAAATACAAATAAAAATTGTTGAAAAGCAAATTAAAAAAAAAATATCCTGATAAAAATTTAACATTAAATTACCCATTGACCTGCACAGCCTGGTTATACGGTCCGGGCCGTATTTTAATTTTTTTAATATAACCGGGTTGGTCCTGGCTGGGCTGTATATTTTAGAACCAAATATTTGAAATTAAATTACCATTATTAGCTATAAAGATCAAAAATAAATAAAAATATATTTTTTTAAAAAAACCCAGGCCGAAAAAAAATCGTCAGGCCGCCGTACAAATGGTACCCTCTGTAGGTCTCTGAAATTGCCATAATTTTACGTCACAAATCACTCTAATTATGATATTACATTAATGTTAAAAAAATTTTTTTTAAACTATAATCTTTTGCTTATGGAAATTTAATATTCCAATGTGATTAATAGGAAACTATTTAAAATATTATATATTATTAAAAATAACAACTATTTGTCTTTGTATACCCTAAAAGGAGCTGTCACTATGTCAGAAAATTTCAAGTTGAATTTTTTTTCATGTGGTATTAAAAAAAAATTTTCTTATTACCGTGAATGTAGGGGACATACACTGGCTTGAGTAGTAAAATATATTTAGGAAGTATTAAGCCACTCATTATAATTAATGCTTGTATTTTGGACAAAATTTTAAAATTAACCTGGAGTTATTAACGATAAATTTAGAGTAACACAATTTTTTATCATAATTTCATTTTTCTACATTTTTTTTTTGAAAAATTTGAATAGTTTTAGAATAAATGAATACATTATAAAAATGCTAAAATTTGTTTAATTTTAGTAGTTTTCATTTATTTCAATTATTTTTTAAAATGCTTGCTATCCTGTCACCATTTTTCTTTACATAGTCTGATAGCGACCACTAAATTGTTGAAAGAATGGAGATGAGACTTGTGTCATGTCAAAATTGTAAACAATTTTTGTAAAATTAAATTTCCAGGGTTTGAAAACAATCGAATATGAATTTGTAGATCAATACTACTGTTTTTGATGATCGTAACCTATCTCCTATTATATTTCTCTTAGTTTGGTATTTGAGAAAATTTCCCATACTTTTTGAATTTATTTCTCTTTTTTTCAAGCAGTTTCTGTAATAATAATATATATATATGAATGTAAAAAATGTAAGCAATACACAATATCCTACCCTTATTACAAATCGAGGTGGGGTACATTGTATCCCTAATATGCGTTATAAATGGATTCGCAAAGTCCTTCCCTCACTTAACAATCACTGACGTACGCCATTCTATCAACGGATCGCGACTATTTTGTTTTCGTTTGCAAAATTTCACCTTTACCTTGGCTAGCTAAGATCATACAGATAAAGGAGCTCCAGGTTCAGCGATATTTACTAAAATCCATCTATCCATCTCTTGTTTATTTATTTCTTGTAAGTATTTCTACTCGATTTTCGAAAACGGTCCTTCACCCCCCCCCTCCCTTTAATTCCCGCCCGGTCTTTGACGTTGGCTAATTGCGCGGGGTTAATTAATAAACCGGATATTTACACGTTTGTTTTATGTGTATTAGAGGCTAAGGAGTGAGGATATATCAGAGAAGATGTTTTATATTCACATCAGGGACCTGCTGGCCCAGTTCTAAGCCCGGCCTGGCCCGAACATTTTAAATATACCTGGGCCGGGTCTTAAGTTTTTCTTTAAAAAAATATCTTGGCCGTGCCGAAAAAAATTTTACAAAATAAAAGGGCCAAATATCTAAATGTTTGTGATTTGCAGCGTCGATCTTTGACTTAGTTTTTTAACATGTGCTAGAACACTGAACACTGGTAAAGGGCCCTTATCATTTCACGTTTATATTTACAATATTCTAAAAAAAGATAAAAAAATTGTTATTGGAAATAAAAAGATTATAAATAAATATTAGCATTTAGCAAAAAATTATTCAAAACTTGTCACAAATTAAATAATTTATTTGTTTAATCTAAATTCGAAAAATTTGATATCTAAAAATTAGTCGCACTTTTCTTTTTTTTAAAAAAAAGGCATTTATTATTTTTTTTAGACGATTTTAAATGCTTTGGACACCCTTAAAGAAAGAAAATATATTTTTGCTTCATATTTAATAATGTTAATTAGTATTGACGGCTCGTTTTGAGCCGATTTTTAAAATCGGTTAACTCGATATTTTAGCCAGAAAAATATTGACTAAGCCTCAAGATTTCGATAATATTATGTATAGACCCTTGTTCCTTTTGTGAACAAAATCTTCAGGCCTACGTAATATCTTTCTGGATAAAATATCCAGTAAGCCGTTTCTAAAAATTGGCTCAAAACGAGCCATTTAACAACACTAATGTTAATATATAATATATATATGTGTTAGAAGCAATGTGTCATTTTTTCAATTTTAAATCATTTTTTTTGAGCCCGTATTTTAAAATTCTAATAAAAATATAAGTAAAAAGTTTTTCAAATTGCTGATAATTTCGGCAGATAGAAAAATCGGTGAAAATAATCTAGAAAAACTTATAATCACCATAAATTTATTTTACAATTTTGCCATTAACCCTTGATTCATTTATAATTTATGTTTTAAAAAAAAATTTCTATGGAAAAACGAAATGTAAATTAGATTAAGCTCAAAAGTTCTCATGGCGAAATTGTCTGAAGTTTTTAGAATAGGTATTCCAAACATGGTGGAATATATTTCGGATTCGCGCTCAAAAAATAAATCATTCAAAGTTGATAAAAATAACGCATTGACGCTAACACACATAAAATACATTAGAGATCTGCAAAGTTAGGCACGGCCCGAATGGGCTTCGGCCGGTCCTAATTCTATTTAAAATTATCGGGTTCGGGCCGGGCCTAATATTTTTAAAAAAATCGGGACGGGTCAGGTCGGGCCTTAGAAATTTTTTAAAAATATATCTTAAATTTATCAATTTTATGTTGAATTTTTTTATGTAAAATAAAAATATGTGATTTTTATTTATAGAAAGTAGACGCCAAATAACATATATCCTTTATTTTGAGTTATAAAAATTAATTTCTATATTTAAATAAATTCGGGCCGGACCGGTAAAATTTTTTTTAAAAAAATTCGGGTTCGGACCAAGCTGGGCAAAACTTTATAAAAAAAAATTTCGGGCCGGGCCGGGCTTTAAAAATTAGGCCCAATGCAGATCACTAATATATATATATGTGTGTACACTAAATTATTTACCATTTCAAATTGATTGACTAGTATTTGACTGCGTGGCAAAAGTACAATGAGGTGCTCAACTATTTTTTAACCATTCCCAAATATCGCATAAAAGCCAAAGAAATAGCCGAAAATCAGGGCCTGCTCTCTGACCTCTATGGCCCATCCGCTAAAAGGTTGAATCGTCAAAAAAACCTTAAAATGAGCAAAGTAAAAATGCTAAACTTTGTTTGAAATATATTTTTTTTTACCTTATCTCCCTTGAGTTTGAGTGACAGGAATCTATGACATAAATCTTTTTTTGGTAGTTATACGGGCTTTTGATTGATGAATGGGGTATGGTTGCTTAGGGTTTAGTCCGAACAAAAATAAAAAGGATTTATTTTGAAAATAAGGGGGAAGTTTTGGAGGAAAATTTATTTATTTTTTTAAAAAAATCATCATTACTTTAATTAATATAACATATGATTTTTAAAAATCTTTTATTCGCTTAGGAGGATATGAAATCGGAAGAAGAAAGAATCCTTAAAAAGATCATTCGAGAACAAATGGATGTCAAGTATGACAAATTTAGCATATTACTTTTGTTTTGCAATTCTATGTTCCTATTAACTCCTGTCTGGCCTAGGAGTCGTAAAAATTGACCTAAACTCGAATCAAAAAAATATCGAATCAGGCACGAGTCCAAATGGGTACAAACAGATTTTCACGTTACACTGTTGGCCATGCACTTTTACTTCTACTTCATACCCAATAAGGAATATTAAAAGTTGAAAGATAGTTAAGCCTTGCAAAAGCTAAAAAAATAATAATGTATATCATATTTTTCCCCGAGGAGTAAGATAAAGTTGATGGCTAATAAACTCTATCTAAATATATATCTATTTTTTTTTAACTCCTCTATACAAAAGGGGCGCCTACGCCAAGCCCGAATGGACGGATCTTATAGTCGTTAAACTCGTTCTCTTGCCGTATTCTCTTTACGAATACCTGAACTGGTATGCCAGATGGATTTACAAATTCGATTACCTCAAATTAGTACTAGCTAACCATTTTTTTTAAAAAAAAATAAGCATTAAAGATTTTTATTGGTTATACGAAATGATAGATTTATATGTTACACGATTGCCTTAATATATTGTATTTGTATATAAAATGGGTTTAATATAGAGATGATGAATTTCCAATATCTTTATCAGCCCAATGCTCTTGGTAATCACTCCCCTATTGATATTGACCAAATACCAAATTATTTAATCATTATAAAGGGGGGTTAGTTTAGTATTGCGTCAAAAAATAAAATGGTTTCTCGTGAATTTTAAGACTTTACATCGATCATAATATAATATAAAATGCCTCAAAAGTGTTCTCGAGTTGATACGTCAACAATTTAGTTGCTTTTCAACCTGAATTCTTAGTTATCACTAAATCACAGTGTAGTATGCAAAAATACAGCATTATCTGTAGATATGGACTCCCCCCCCCGCGAATCTGTCCTGATTATGAATTCAAAGTGAACAGGGTGTGAAACAAACTTTTTATAATTCGGGATTTTATGATTGAATTTTATGCGGCACTATTTTTTAGCTTAAAATATTGAGGTTAAGCGCCCTCTAACCCTTTGTAACCAATTTTTTATCTTTGTGAATGCTAAGTAGAGTACTCCAATAATCCCAGACCCACCATTTTATATTTACTTTTGCCTAACAATATTTATCTTATATACCTTCAGGAATACGGAATGGAAGAAAAATTATATTTGATTCGCAAGTTCATGAAAATGAGCCAGTGTCAATTCGATCAATTTACGGAGGAGGAAAAGGAGGAATACTTGGAACAGACGCTTTGGATAAAAACTAATTTTGACGTAAAAATTTTCCCCTTATGATATTATATTATTTTTCGGTTCAACTTTTATTATAGGGTAAATGATATATGGTACACGATTTTGATGACGATATATCTGCATCGAATTGCGCGAAAATTATTAACGCTATTCGCCATGGCTTTCCATTACCAGCCTGCTAGGTATTGGTTTTATAAGTGCAATATCTACGATTAGTTTTGTTAAACGGCTCGTTTTGAGCCTATTTTTAAAAACGGCTAACTCAATATTTTATCCAGAAAAATATTACGCAAGCCTGCAGATTTTCCTCATAGAAGGAACAAAGGTCTATACATATATGATCGAAATCTCCAGGCTTAGGCAATATTTTTCTGGTTAAAACATTGATATAGCCGTTTTAAAAAATCGGCTCAAAATGAGCCATTTAACAACACTATCTACGATTATACATTCGCTGTCGGGGGCAATGATAAATTTGGCGATGCTTTAAAAACCCCCCAAAATAAAATTAGGCAAAAAGGAAAATTCAAAATAGCAGTAAATAAAAGAAAGATTATAAAGGAATTTGAATAAAAATATTTTGATAAGATTTATATAGCATAGCGAAAAAGATGAGGAAAGCGGCCTAATTTCTCGTTTGGGACTATTATTGTATAGATCATTATCGCTAACCAACCTAACAACTCCAAACGTACTCGAGCAAAAAGAACGGCTTAAAATTTCCATATATGCGGAAATTTTAGAAGATCATATTTTTATTCCAATGAAATCGACTACCTTGACTTCCTTTGGTAAGCTTGCATTATCTTTCTTCATGGATTTTGTCACATCTTCAAGGTTACTGGCTTTCCTCGTGAAGCCTTCTTCCTCAGACAGAGATTTGCCATAGCTGTCCTTAACGCCACTTATATAAGCTTCAATGGCAATCTTCTCTCCACAGAACTTCGCTAGATTACTTATTCTTCTTATTTTAAGCGATATTTTTTCTTTGTTTTTTTTAACATAAAACATTGTATATTTTAAATAACTTGTAATTTTTTTAATGTTGAAATATAGTAGAATAGAAAAAAAAATTGATTTAAAGGTTTACTAAATTTTTTTAAATGTAATTTTATATGTAAATATTTTTATATATAGATATTGTCAGTTGCTTGTATAACTATCAAACTGTTATAATATAGAGATCTGCGGCCTAATTCTTTTTGGGCCGGGTCGGGCCTAATATTTTTTAAAAAAAATTGGGCCAGGTCGGATCTTAGAATTTTTTTTAAATATATCTAAATTTATCAATTTTAATGTAAAATAAAAATATTTTATTTATTTAAACTAAACGACTTATAAAGTATGTCTTTTAATTTGAGTAATTATAAAAATTAATTTCTATATTTAAATAAATTCGGAGCTGGGCCAGTAAATTTTTTTAAAAAAATTTCGGGTTTGGATCAGGCTGGCAGAACTTTTTTAAAAAAATTTCGGGCCGAGCCAGGCTTGAAAAATTAGGCCCGATGCAGATCACTAATATTGATAAATAATTTATTATTGGAGTTATTTAAATCATTTCAGGTGCTACATTTTATCTTCTCATGATGGACACCTTATGTTACGAGAAGTATTATATTATGTTTAAATTGAATAATTAATTTAGATCGATTTATTAGAATGTGTACCAATTATCATTAACCAGTTACGCAAAATGTCTAACCTTCCAATTGATATTATAGGCACGTTTTAGCTTCTAAATTTGGAGGAAACCTTATAAAAATTGCTCTAGTAATGGAAATCGGAGTTCCAATACTTAACAAAAGAGCGGGGAATGAACATTTTATTTAAATTTCGCGCATAGTAGCAGATGTGGATATATCGTCTTCAAATCGTGTGTTAAATATTATTGCACCAGGTTAGACGTGATGGAAGGGGTTGGAGTAAACCTTTTTTTTTCAATATAGGAAAGACAAGGATAATATAAATCAGAGACCCCACCCTCGTCAAAAAAACAGGAATTTAAATTTTTATTTTTTAAAAAAAATAGAAATTTCTTTGGGTCCGATGTAAGGGCTCATATTTTTCCGTCCTATTTTTTTTAAGTTTAAAGTTCCCCCTCGGTCATTTACCCTACCTTCTCGGAGGTTCATCTATTAATAAATTAGGGAGTGAGGGATATATCTATGGCAACTTTGTTAGGATGATTTTAGGTGAATAAAGTGTGGTAGTTTAGTGAAATCCAAGAATTTTTAACTCTATTTAACCGAAATTTTGATAACAGGAACTTAATCGAAACCGATTTTTCAGAGAGATGTCTAACCCGCTCCGGTCCATTTTACCCCGGGTTCGAGTTTACATTTCCTGCTCTTATCCCTACTGGAACTGTAGACATCAATTTGTTTTTTTTTAAATTTTTATCTTACATATATGAACGAAATAAAAAATAAAATATTTACGAATAGTAATAAAAAGAACCTAAGGTATTGGTGCATCTCAGTTTTATATTTCATAATTTTATTTTACGAAAGGAATGGAAAAAGGTCAAAGACGAAGAAGCCAAGAAAAAATTGCTTCAGAGCGGCAAATACAAAAACTACAAGCGATGGATGAGGAAAGGGGGGCCGGGCCAAATTTCTTTCGTTGAAGATGAATAAGAATTTATTTTATTTTATTTATTAATAATTTTAAAATCGCGACGTATTTTTTTTTATTTACCAAAAAAATTTTATACTAGAAAATTGTGACCGAGTAAAATTATTCTTGGTGCAAACATTAAATTCGACTTATGTATATTTTTTTAAATTAAAAATGGTCTAAACAAAATCGTCGATTTCAATAACTTATACTCCTCACGCCTAATATATTATATAAAAAAATGTTTTTATATGATTTATTTCGGAAATGTTTTTGCTAATATTTATTATGAATTCAAATGCTAAAAAGGCTAAATTTTTTCGCAAAATGTTATAAAAGGGAATCAATTATTATTTAAGTCACAATTTTTTTTTTTTAAAAATGGAAGAATATAAAGCGTATAGATAAATGATATGATATTTTTTCGACTAACATTTATTTTAATTTTTTTTTTTAGAATTAGATGAACGAAGGAATTTAATTGCGGTTAACTTACACCAGTGGGTAAATAGTTTCGCGCTTAAAAAATATTTTTACATTTGGTTATAAAATACATTTCATCTTTAGGGTTTACTCACTCACTTGGCAAAATTCTTAAGGGTCTTCAAAGTTTTCACGGGGTTTGATTCATTTTGCCCCACGATGGCGCCACTGGAAATGAAGCTTGATGCCCCATATATGTATAGTATAGATTATTCCACCCCGTTACCTGTTTTTATCCCTCTATTCCAATTTCGATATTATATATAATTGCAACAAATAATAGATATTTAATGATAATGAAATGTGTAATAATACTTTATTTCTGCAAATATCCGCATAATATTACTGCACTCCAAATAATACATATAAAAACTGATAACAATAAGAATTTTAATAACGACTAAATTTTTGTTAATCAACAACAAATTTTATTAAATGTCGATGAAACCAATGACATATAATACCTAGACTGACGACTCATTCATTAAAAGTGTACATCAATGCAAATCAGCTGTGGACGCCATCTTGATTACAGTAATCATTAAAATTTTAAACTAGAGCCTAATGTATTCCTATGTCTGACGCAAACATTAAATAATTGCCTGATCATCGAGATAATATGGAACCAAGTTATCAATTTAATAGTAGTTTTTAACATGAGAATAATTATCATAAGGGTTACCAAAATGGCTGGTCCAGCTGATTTTCTTTTAGCGACGCTTAAAAATGCATTTTAATAAATGAATCGTCAGTCTATATATCTATCATACTCCATAACATAGACATCATATATGCGTAGAGTACGGGTCTACGTAATCTAATTAGAGTTGAAATATTTGCAAGAATCAATCTTTCCAAGAAAACTAGAGAAGTCATTTATTTCAGCCCTCATAATATTAAGTAGCAATATGGAATGTGAAATTGAGGTTGACCATTGTAAATGCTTGCAATTAATTTTGAGACAGTCTAGATTTTGGATAGTGATAATTCTGATCCATACCTTGATGGACATTGATATCTCTAGTGCGACTGGTAATATAAATTGCAATGCACCAGCTGATCGAATTAATATGAAAACCTTATAATTTGGCATAGCATATAAATTATGCTAGAGAGTATCCGTGGTATAGCAACAAGATTTCTATAAATAATATGCTAAATAAAATAGGGAAACAATTTTTGAAAACTTTTTTAATAACGAATGTGATCTCGCATTATTGACTCCATTTAAAGAGTGTGTAGAATTTTTTTTCCTCCCAAAAGGGATCATTGATTTAGGTTTATTATTTGGCAGTGAAATAGAAACAAATAAATGAATCTGATAGCTCAGATATCATTTGACTAAATATGCAAAAAAAAACCTGACCTTAAATTTCAATTATCGAACTGCAAGAAATTTATTTTATATAATAATTTTTTTTTATTTATACGTCGATTGTGGCCATTCCATTGAATCGAATGCCTATCATCCCTTTCACTGCAAGTTCTTCTTCTGACGTCCCCACCATAAATTAAGAACATTCTCCTACCTGCCCTCAAAAAAGTTAATATACCACCCAATCTTGAACCGGTGGGTCTTTCAAATAAGGCTTATTGGATGTTATATCTTCTGGACGAACGGTCTTCCACTGACCTAGGACAACACTTGTATCGATTTTGCAGCGAAGATTACTCTCATCCATTGAAACGGCATAAGTTCTTTAAAAAAATATATGTTGGTCTCGTAAACACGGTCTTCATACCAATAGTTGCCAACATCTTAAGCATGTTTCGAAAATGATACCCTTAATTTTATCAAAACCATAGGCAAAAAATGAGACAGATTACAGGCGGTGCCAACGATGATTTCTAACATCATCAGCGATTTCTCCCAAGGCCGATCCAATTTCTTAAGCATTCACTCCTCTCTAGGGTGACACGTGCCACCTTTTTTTAAAATTATTTTTTAATGTATTTTTGATATAAAATTTATATATGTGAACTTGATAACTTTGTTTTAATAAAAAATCTAGATTATTACTAATGTGATGCGATATTCTGACCTGAGTGAAAAAGCAATTTCCTAGTCTATTTCGAAGAACGAGAAATATTATAAAATGTCGGGAAAAAGAATGATTTAAGAACTAAATTATATTATTAATTTTGGAACTAAAGTGTGGAAAAATAAATTATAAAAAAATAGCAATATATTGAATTTAAAATTCAAAAAATGTTTTAAATTAAGTAGCCTACAAATTTAGCGCGCCGCCACCAATTGAGACATCAATGCACAAATGTAATGATGGTACTGTCATCGCTGTGCTCATTTTATAAATCATTATATACATTTTTATATAAATTACAATATTATATGTTGTTGATTGGTGGAAAAGAAAGTAAATAGTATTATTAAGAAATTAAACGCCAATCATTTGTTTTTTTGAATAATTACAAGAAATTATTAGTTTTTAGGAATCACTTTTTGAAAATTCATATTTTTTTAAAAAAAATTATATCCTTAAATAAAAAAAACTTTTCTTTTTTTTGAATTATATTTTTTTTAATATAGAAATTATCTTCATATTTCCGAATTTTAACTGTAATTTTAAATAGAATTAAGAAAATTATTGAAAACATATTCCTTTGTCATTACATTTATAAGTTGGAAGCCCTAGCAGATAAGGGGGTTAAGATAACTATATTAGAGAGTCAAGAACCTCGTAAGTTTGTTAAGATAAAATTTTTTGTTAGATAATATTAGGTGGCTGTCGAAAAGTTATTTTCAAAGAGATCAAGATTAGACATGTTATTTTAATTATACGTTATTATAATCATAATTTTATATTAAAAAAAATGTATGTTTTATTTCTTATTCCTCTTTATTTATCATAAAATTAGATTATAATTATATATAGCAGAGACCTGCAGAGGTACCATTTGTACGACCCGGCCTGGGTATATTTAAAAAAATTAAAATAATATAGGATTTTATTTTTTAAATATTAAGCAATGCGGTATATATTATTTGTTTTTGATTCTTCTTACCTCTGCTATATATACCAGAGACCAAGCAAGCCCTGCCTAGGTACACGGTCCGGGCCGTATTTTAATTTTTTTCAAATACACCCGATTCAGGCCTGATTTTTTTTTTAAATACCCGGGTTGGGCCGTACATTTTAAACCCATATATTTTAATCACCATAATTAGCTATAAAAATAAATATAATATATATTTTTTTTTAAAAAAGCCGGGCCAGGCCGTGCAAATAATATCTCTGCAGGTTTGATATTTATATATGAGCATTATTTTTTCTAAATAGTACTAATAATTTAGAATTATAAAAATCAGAAGTGTAGCGATCGTTAATTGTTTTTAAACAAAAAAATGTAGTTGATTCTATTCCTCCCTTAAAATCACGATTGAAATCATTTAAAAAAACATTAATACAATGTTTGACAATTTTTTAAAATTTATACTTTAACATATGTGAGATAAATTTAAAAGATGACTCCATTATATGCATGTCTATATCCTGATGCTCAACATCTTATACAAACTTGGTATGTGATTGTTGAATTACAATGTTATATAATCCTTGTTCAATCCATTTGTAAAAAAAATTATCCAGATACCGAATACAATTTTTACTCATTGCTACATTGCTGTGAAAATATGGCACATTATGCAACACAAGCGATTAATAAGATACTGTTGTAATTGTATATTTTTTAGATAATTTTATATAATATCCAATGTCAATCAAGTAATGTTTAAATGTAAATTCTTATTTGAGGAAAGCAGCAAGATTTCTATGTCTTGATTTTGATGCTTTCTTTGCGATACAATAAAATATCAGTTATTGATCTCGTCAGTGGGATAATAGTGATTGAAAGAGATTGACTACCCGTATATTTTATGAAGAAAGAGAATTTTCTAAGGCTTAAAGAAAATTTGCAATTCTACCCTGGCCCTTAAAAGTAATTTTGTAAGTTATCCAGCCCGGCCCTAAAATATTTCTCCGATTTATAGTTATTTTAACGGAAACAACCTGAACATTTATTTTTAGATGTCTAATTTTCGAGACAATGATCATACTAATTTATACATTATGTGATAATAGCATGGTTATTATAATAATAATTTTCAGTCAGACAACAAAACGTATATTGATCAATGACATATAATAATACCTAGACTGACGATGCAATTGTTAAAGGTATACATCAACGAAAAACAGCTGGGGACGCCATTTTTGGTTACCTATATCATTATTAAGCATTTTAAACGAGAGTCCAATTTATTCCTATGTCTAACGCTGACTTTATTAAAGAATTGCCTTATCATCGTGATAATAAGGAAGCAAGTTATTAAGTTAATAACAGTTTTTAACATGAGAATAATTACTATATGTGTTACCAAAATGGCGGATCCAGCTGATTTGCATTCAACGACGCTTTTAAATGCATTATTATGAATGCATCGTTAGTGTAGATATTATTATATGTCATTGATGTTGATACAGAAAGACTCAACAAGATTTTAGCACATGATAACGAAATATAACCAAAAAAATTAAGGGACAAAACAAAATAAAAGTCAATGGACAAATAAAAGACTGTCGCAACACAGGTAGCGAATGGCTGTTATGTTATATTAACTTGTACAATATATTTTATACCGGGATCCTTATTATCCTGCTCTAAATGAAACTCATAAATATGCTATACCTGTTATCTTACTACCTGCCTTTACTCACGAACTAGTGTTTTATTTATAATGAAAGAGTTAGAGATCATATATAGGATCGATGTATTCTATTCATGAATATACATTGTATGCGCTTCACTCGCTTATGTGATAAAATATTGCACTTCAGTAAATTTCTGGCGAAATCGCGGTTCGACTTAAATTTCTCGTGAGCGTGATTTTAAGCAATCAAGAGCTAATCTAGCTTAAAAGAAGTGTAATAATGTATCACTGATATGATAAACCATATATATATATATATAAATTTATTAATCAGGGCGTGTATCGTAATTTGATTACAATGATTAGATAAATAAGTTTATATTATAATATATATTTTAATTTTGGTTTAACAAATGTCCATTTCTCATAAATGTGTGTCTAAAACTTTAACAACGTTCTACAAATTATATTCACTTCACATTATATTTTTTTAAATTAATTATTTATGCCAAAATTTTTGAGCAAAGCAGCTCCAAGCGTCTTGGAACATACTGGAAAATGTGGCCCGAAATTGTTCGCTCATGATACAATATATTATAAAATTGGCCGAGCTATTGATAAGGGCCATCATGTCCATCAGATCTCCCAATGGGCTGTAAATTCTCAAGAAAAAGGGTTGCCCCATCAAATTCTCTATACACAATAGCGCCAGAAATCCGGATGGGAACTCCGTTATCAAAAAGCAAAGTAAAACGGTCAATAGTAATTGAGATGTCTTGTCAGTTTTGTACCTGTGGTGATGCGATACTTTGGTCTCGATAGTTTTCCTCGACTTTTCAGAGCCAATTCTAGGCCGCGAGGCTCTGTAACATTTTTTCTTGCGGTCATTCGTAGCTACAGCTGGATCTTTGAAGTTTTTGCTACTCCTTTTAAAACTGGAAACTTTGTTAAGTTCGCCAAGTTGATCATCATAAAATTCTGGATCTTTATCAGGAGCATCTATATTTGGCGCGGTCTCCATTTCAATTGTTCTCAATGTTTTTTCATGCTCATTGACAACATCTTCCTGGTCATTTTGGTTTAAACCCGCGTTTAAAAAGATTGTACTTGATTTAGGACCTAGATTGTTAGATGAATAATTTGAGGAAGTTAATAGCTTAAGAGTAATAGGTTTTTGCTTAGAAAAGAATCTAATAAAGGAAAATTTGGAAAACTTGCGCCAATTTATGGGAACTGGGGTGTTTACTTTATAAAATTCTCCTTCAGATGTAGTATTTAAATTAGAAAACTGACGCTGGCAATTGGAATAAGATCCCACACTATCCTTCTTATATATATTCGTAACATCAGGGCTGCTATAATTCGTTCCAGCCGATTTCTTTCGAGAAAATGATTGCTTTTTTAAAAGTGGTTGATTGTTGGTAGGTAAATTACCCGTTTTAAGTTTTTGACGTCGGTAATTCGCTTTACAAATGATCCATATGAGAAACGCTGACATTATAGTGAGCATTAAGCAAGGCAAAAGCTTGCCCGCCACGCTATAAACTACGAAATTAATGAGTAAAAGATGAGAGTGCTTGGAGTTCATGGCGGTTATGTATTTGCCTTCGGTTAGTGGCCCATCTGGTAAAGACGTTTCATTGATCGTGCCGTAATATATTTCTTTGTAATGATCGCTAGGAATCTCTCTAAAAATTTCGCTAGATTGTTTTTTAGACTCCTGTCGCATCACGAGGTCGGGATAACTGTATATCTTGTAAGACGGTGTTGATACATTTCCAAGTTCCGTTTCAACATCAACGTAGTCGAGAATATATAGGAAGGATGAAGTTCTCTTGACATGTTGAATACCATTGTGACGGGAAAAACTGTTGCGAACAATATCCATAAAAGAATCGTTGAAAGTTGAAGTCGTGATATAGAGACTAGGTGGGGTAGGTACAATAATGAATCTTTTGGAGCGGTATTGGTAGTAGCCTTTATTCTTGGTGGGCTGCACCTCGCTAAAAAATCTTTTAGTTGCGGTGGTCTCGTTAGAATGACTGGCGAACAAATTGTCGAAGCTAGCGTTTTTGGGATGGGAATCACCAGGGATGGATGATTGCGGAACCGGGATAATTATATAACTCATGTAATAAGGCAGACATATTAGGATAACGACCCCATATATAATGGCCAGGCATACAATGGTGGTTACGTTATTGAAGTAGCGTTTTCTCAAGAGGGGTTTCGATATGGAGAGGCAACGAAAAGCGGCCAGAAACACGGTTACCCAAGTGGAGATAGTATGAGCTGTCATGGTTAAATTAAAGTGAAACAAAACGAATAAGGCCCAACCATAACTGTGGAGCGATTCTTTCATGGAAGGTATATACATGTAGAAAGCGAATATCAAATAACTCGCCATCACCAAAACGTCGGCCAGGGCTATACCTTTTATGTATTTAAAAATGAATTTATTGTAAAAAATGTGGATAAATAAGGCATTAATCTTTATAGGATATATGTTATGCGTATCAGGGGAAGTCGGAGCGCGGTATTACTAATGCAATAAAGTAAATGCTTTTTAATCCTTAAACCGCGTCTTAGCTCGTCTTATGTTATTTATTCTAAAAAGATAGAGGGTGGTGACTTTAAAAATAAATAAATCACATATTTCGAGACTTGAATCACTCATGTAAAAATCTATAATAACAAAAATAGAGATGAGCTAAGACGTAGACGTAGACTTATAGTTATAATTGTTTTCATAAAATCAAATGCAGAAAGACTTTATCTAACTTACGAGTTATGGATGAAAAGTATCACTAAATGTTAGTCTCAAAATCACATCTTCTGGAAATAAATAATTTGTTATAAATGGTTTTAATTTAACCTTTGTTTTTTTTAAAAAAGTATTTTGGGTTTGCGTGTCTGTACATGAATAAATTTTTCATAACAAAGTATGACTATTAAAAACCCTATCATGTTATTAAATTATTCTCTTCTTTTTTTTTATTATCTTTATAAGGGCCTAAAATGTAATACGTAGTCGTCCTAGAATCGGAGTGCTCCACTGGACATTTTCAAAAATTTTTGAAGTTAGAATAGGATAATAACTTATTTACTCTCAATAAACTATATCAAAGATATTAATTTTAGCCAAAGTTATAGAGCTCTGTTCAAAATTGATCAATAAGCTTTTCCTATATTTTAATTTTAAACTTCAATGTTGATTTTCTCATTGCATTTGTGCAAGTGAGAGTATTCAAGGCCCGACGAGGTATTTACTCTTTTTACCCCGCCATTGCCCTGAATGTATTAGGTAAACCGACAAAAAAAAGTATAAGAGGAGTATAAGTAAGTTCTAACATAAAAATGAAAATTATTTTAATCCCACTAATAAATACGAAAATTTTGTCGCAAAAGAGCTAAATGTTTTACGATTCTACCCATAACTATTACGATAAATATATCGGACTTAATTGAATTGAGGGTGTTTTTAAGCATTTTCAAGGTGTTATGAATTTGGCCGCAATCAAATGCAGACGGAATAAACAAAAAAAAATGTAAGAAATTTTTATTTATAACTTATTTTACGTTATTTTATAGTTTAAATCAAAATGATTTTAATACGCGTTTATATCTTCACGAAGGTTAAATGGGAAAATAGAAAGTCGCATAACGTCTTAAGAAGTTAAGAAATTAATCATTAATTATTACAGTATTAGCATTTCGTTAAAACAGTTGTGAGACAAACTAAACCATAACGCGTAAAACTATTAATCAACTCAAAAGTAATTTATTTTACAAACACATTATCATTAACTTATCTCTTTTTTTTTAAAATCATAAATTTGATTTATGAATGTTTTCTGCATTTTTTTAATCTTTTCTTCCCGAATTTTTTTTTATCTGATACCAATAATCTATTGCTTATATAAAAATATAATAATTCTAAATCAATTAAAAATTATATAAAATGTGTGTTTCTTCTAAAGAAATTCCTTTCTAAAAAATGTATAATCTCTCTTTTTTTTCTTAAAAAATATAATCAAAAGTTTCAAATGATATTTTTTCTATAAAAAGATAGATATTTTCCAAGAGCTTTGGGCCTTCGATATGAATTCACGGGTCGTTTAACTCGTTAAAGTTATTTAAATTATTATGATTTTAAAATTAGTAATAAGGTAACTTTTCTTTCTTTCTTTCTTTCTTTCTTTCTTTCTTTCTTTCTTTCTTTCTTTCTTTCTTTCTTTCTTTCTTTCTTTCTTTCTTTCTTTCTTTCTTTCTTTCTTTCTTTCTTTCTTTCTTTCTTTCTTTCTTTCTTTTGGAATTTAAAAACGTTTTTTTTGACGCTGCAACATAGTGGAAACTTGGTTCCACTTCTATTCCTAAACACGTTGCTGGGCGAATGGAGGAAATTTTAGGGAAATTGTGTATCGTCATTTTAAAAAAAATAACTTTGTATCTTTGTATCTTTGTAATATAATTTGGAAATATTTATTTGGTTATTAGGGTTGGCGAGAAATTTTCTACACTACCCGTCCCCGTCTAAATTCAGTGGCGATATATTTTAAAAAGCAAAGCATTTGAATGATCAGACCAGACCTAATTTTGAAATCCATTCAATATAATTTATTAGAAAAAAAGTCATTCTAAAAGTTAACCACCCCCCTCCCTTTCATAACAGAAAGATCCATAGAACATTTGCAATGCTTATTTTCTCAATCTTTTCATATTTAGCAATTCTTCCTGAAAAGTGTATTATGTAAAATTTAACAAATATCTGCAATTTTTAGCGAAATCGACAGACGTACATGGCAGCCTCGATTATACATTGTTTGGACATAATTTTAATTAATAAAAAACCTTGGGCTTTTAATCGAATAGCCAGGGAAGTTCTGAGAATTTTGGCGGCCCAGGGACCATTTTGAAACCCCCAATTTTTCTAAAACTCCAAGAATGATCAGAAAATAACAAACTAGGCTCCTTCATCTATAAGATGGGTTTCGTGTATGAGCAGCTTAGAAAAAGTACTATTAGCAAATCGATATCATTTTCTTGAAATTAGGAACTCTTAGATTCCAAGAATATAAAGCTGCCACAAATAAACCCATCATAAAATTCGGATGTAGTTATAATGCTTGTCGGCAGGTGTCATGACAAGGCCCTCCACCCAAAGGGAGGGGCACAAATAAATTGCGTCATTGAAATTTTATATATTAGGAGGAACAATACCATATGTCGTGTTCATTAAATAATTTTAAATGTGACTTAGGCGATAAAAAATCACAAAAGATCTTCATTAAGCTGTGTCAAAAAAATATCAAAAAAATTATTAAATTCACAAACTTTAATGAAAAATATGTCAGAGACCTACAGGCCTGGCCCTAAGCCCGGGCAGTATATTTTAAAACCAAATATTTGAAATCGTCATTATTAGCTGTAAAAATCAAAAATAAATAAAATAAATTTTAAAAATATCCGGGCCGGGCTTGAATATTTTTTTGAAAAAAAAAATCCGGGCCGGGCCGTACAAATGGTGCCGGAAGGTCTCTGAAATATATAAACAATTTATTTTAAAAATATAAAAAAAATTTGTTCCAAAAACATAATTTTTAGGAAAAATTTCAAAAATTTAATTATAACGATATTTAATTCTCTTCCCTTCCCTTCCCTTCCCTTCCCTTCCCTTCCCTTCCCTTCCCTTCCTTTCCCTTCTCTTCTCTTCTCTTCTCTTCTCTTCTCTTCTCTTCTCTCTCTCTTCTCTTCTCTTCTCTTCTCTTCTCTTCTCTTCTCTTCACTTACGTTGACCAAAATATCTAAGCATTCTCAAAATAAAAATCTTCAACTTAAAAAAAAATTTTCAGGGATCTAAATTATTTTTTGATTTTGAAAAAAACTTTGATTTTAATTCTTCAAAAATGGTCTTTGGAGAGAACTTAAGAACTAATGAATAAATTACAATTTAATTTTTTTTAGCGAATTTTATAATTTCAATTTAAAGTGTAAATAAAATTTTTTTTTTTTTAACTACTATACCACATAAAAATAAATTTCTTTATATAAAAGGATTTAATACTTTAATTGCCATGGAGTTAATAAAAGCAAGCTATATTTTTATATATAGTATTTTTAATTAACTTAAACAAACCTATAAACTAAACTCTTAAATAAAATTTAAAAAAAAATAATACAATATACAAGTTCTAATACTATAAATTAACCATTATAAAAATTAAAAAAAGATTAAGATATTATATTTCATAAATTTCGATTTTATGAATTTCTAATTTTATGTTTAATTTTGGTTGGTAAAGGTAACAAAAATTAATTTTTTATATGATATTGTTATCGGAATATTATATCTTTTTAAAATCGAGAATAGATTAACATTAATATATTGTTAGTTAATTAAATTAATATGAAATTGCGATTTATAGGATATTTAAATATATATAACCATGGACCTGTGGGTCCGGCCCTAACCCCGGGCAGTATTTTAATTTTTTTAAATATACCCGGACCGGGCCGGGCTTGAAAATTTTTTTAAAAAAATAATATCCGGGCCGGGCCGTATATTTTAAAACCAAATATTTTAAATCGCCATTATTAGCGATAAAAATAAAAAATAAATAAAATATAAAAAAATCCTGGCCGGGCTATACAAATGGTAACCTCTGCAGGTCTCTGATATATATATACCTTTCTTTAGTGTGCGTAATAAAATAATGTTACCAAGGCGTGTAAAAGCACGAATTCACTTTTAGTGGGGTTAGTTTGAGCCGATTTTTTAAAAACGTCTAACTCGATATTTTTTTTTATTAGGAAAAAAATATTATGCGAGCCATAAGATTTTGCTATTTATAGGTGGCACAAAAGGTTTGAATATCTATTAACGAAATCACGAGGTTAAGAACAATATTTTTTCGGGCTAAAAATATTAAGTTTTTTTGGGAATTTATTAAGAATATTAGAGTTGTTAAATTTCGTAACTTTAACCATCTCGATTTTGGCTTATTCAAGCTTTTAGCCTAAAAAATAATCGAATTAAGTTTCTAAGTTGAGTATTAACTTGAAGGTTGATTGGAATAATTTTGGTTAAAAAAACAACGGCTACTCTGTTTTTATAGTTGACTAAAGTTATTTAGTTTTAACAACACTAAAGAATATATTTTAGTAAGAAAAATTGACATAACTCCTAAATTAGTAAACTATTAGTATTTGTTTTAACGGCTCAATTTGAGCCTAATAAAAAATTTTTAAAAATGGTCAAACATTAGGGTAAAAGTTTACCTAAATATTATAAATCGCTTATAAACATACAGTAAATGTGTATATTGAAGAAGAAGAAGAAAAACTTCTATAAAAAAAAATTACAAAAAAATGTTTCATAAAATTTGTAAGGAATTATAGAAAAATAGACCAAATTTTTAATTTTCTAATGTATAAAATTATATTTATAAATTTGTTGAATAATAATAATATATAGAATTATTTATTATATAAAAAACTATTCTTTTTAAAAGGTATTTTACATTTCTTTGTAAATTTTGATCAAATTTTTCAATGATTTCATTAGTGTTTGTTAAACGGCTCGTTTTGAGCCTATTTTTAAAAACGGCTAACTACATATTTTAGCCAGAGAAATATTGCCTAAGCCTCAAGATTTCTATAATATATGTATTATAGATCTTTGTTCCTTCTATGAGAAAAATTTTCAGGCTTGGGAAATATTTCTCTGAATGAAGTATTGAGTTAGCCGTTTAACAACACTAGATTTCCATAAGTATTTGGGTGTCAAAACCCCGTGTATACGTGTAGAGAGGGGCTAATCGATTCTATTTATTTTCTGAGATATCACTTCTCATATATAAAATGCCAAGTGCTAATGAATGGACCTAGCGGTATAACAATCTTTGTGTAATTAGTAAATAACTCTTTTCTATGGATTGTTTAATGAATCAAGATAGTGTTGTTGAAAAAATTTTCGGGTTTTTTTAAATCTTAATAACTAAAATGTTGTTTAACGGAGGCTTGAAGATTTCCCTAATAGATGTCCAAATCTTTGTGCCATCTAAGACCAAAATCTTCAGACTTTTTTGGCGTAATATTTTTTCCGAATAATTATATTGAATTATTATCCGCTTTTAAAAATCGGCGCACATCGAGCCGTTAGTTTAGTTAGCGATTCGGTCCGCTTTTGACAAAATCTAGAGGCTTATTAAAATAGGCCAAATAGAGGTTTTAAACAAGCATTAAACATGAAGGAGAAAATAATAATATTCTTGCTGATCCTAGAAAAATATTTGAAAGATGAGCTTATCTTAGTGCGAGTTGGGTATGCCATTATCAAATTCACAATCAGGGAATTTATAAAAAATTTCTTCATACTAGTATGGGAGACCGGGGAACTTATGAGCCCGGAGTTCACGTGTTTTGAGATTTTCTTATTTGTTTTTTTTTTAAAAAATTCATAAGCGGCTAGAAAACTTCTTTCGGATCACGTATAAAAATTTTTATATCACAATATATGATTTATACCCTCAAAAGCAGTGGCGTAGACAAAAAGGGAGGGGTTAGGGTTGACCCCCTCCTCTATACCCAAAATATGGATTCGAGCAAAATAAGGTCTTTCATGAATTGAACCAAAAAATTCGGATCCATGATATTCTCCCTAAAAACTCCTTTATAGTAACTTCGAAAATAGTGTGAGATATCACGCGGCTTACAAAATTCTGAGGCTGTGTCCTATCGGCTAAATTTTGATAGGTTCTAAGTATAGGCTAAAAAGTGTATGAACGAGGACAGTTTGTTTTAAGTATTTGGGTTCCATTGATTTTTCGTGGTTTATTCTCGTTTTTTTTGTGTTTTCTTCGTTTTTTTGTGTTTTTTTTTGGTTTTTTAAAAAGAATAATTCTATTACTTTTTTTGGTTGTTTAGTATTAAAGCTGACGACCTAAGACACGCCCTTAATGCTAAATTATACGGCTATACTATACTATATGGTTCAGCGATAAATAACGCATGGTTATAAGCGAAATGGCGGCTACTATAATAGTAAGCACAAATAAATAATGAATTTTAAACGCTTTCGTTTTAATTGGATAGCATTTTTTTTTAAAATTTAAATGTCTCATATTAAAAAAAATATTTATAATAATTAAGGGTTCAATTTTAAACATAACTGCGTTTACGTTTTTTTTTAATTTGCGTTTTGAAACGCTGCGTCGAAACGCGTTCAATATGTGCGCACTATAAACGAAACTTTTTTTGTATTTACCAAAAAGTCATATTGTATATAAAACATGTATCTTCAAAAAAAATACTATTCGAATATTTCGTGTTCAAATAAATTTAAAGTTAAATTGAAAGATAAAATTAAATCGAAGACTGGGGTTCAATAAATATAAAAAAAAAGGGGGAATTTGGGCAGGAAGTCGGGCGAACTAATATCAAAATAATTAAAAAAATCGTACCTATGAGTATAATATTGGTCGGGTTGATCATATGACGCTTGGACAGAACGGCTATGTTGAACACATTGGCTATGATTCCGAAAGTGCAAATGACGACGGAAAAATACCCGTGAAGGTTGCCGTAACTGTGATTGAACTTGATCAGGTGTCTTCCCAAAGCCGAGTACGGAGTAGCGGGCGAGGCCTTCCTTATTTTTCTAGTAATGGCGGGTCGCGTCACCAAGGGCGAAGGAGGAGACTTTATAACGATCGTATCGATGTCTCTATCGCTAAAGTGGTTTAGGTCACCACGGTGGTTCGTGGTCAGAAATATTTTAGAATTCTCAGGAAAACTTTGATCGTTATCCTCGAATACCCCCCGATGTTTACTCCTTTTCCTATTGTTCCTCTTATCGTGGTGGATCCCTTTTTCGAAGAAGGGCCGATCATTATCGCCGTAAACGCTCCCGTAAGCATTTTTTTTGGCTTCGTCTAAGTAAACGATTAAAGATGGACGGTACCGCGCGGATGAAAACACTCGCGATCTTTCGGTTCTTCTTCTTCTTCCTCTTCTTTCTACAGCTTCGGGTTTCCTTCTTCCGATATCCTCTAAGGTGAGCAAAGGATAATGATGGTCGATTTGGGATCGGTTGCTATAAAGAGGTAGGGGAGGAGATAGAGTTTTACTACAAGTTACGTTATCGAAGAAGTTAGGTATCGCCAGGGAAAAGAACAAGTTTGTCATCGTTTAACTCTCTCCTTTCCCCTCAAAACAAAACATAATTCTTCCCGACTTTTAGGATTGGTTGAATTTGAAAAGGAGGTCGATGATATAGCACTGAATTTATCTCTTCCGTCAATTTCTATCTTGTTATAAATTTTTTTTTAGTAATTAATTTTATATAAAAGTTATAAAATATATAGGGGAATTCTTTAAAAAATATATATAATTATTGTTATTATTAATTTATTAGGCTTAAGAAATATTATATATTATTTTATTTATTTTATTTTTTTAAAAAAAAGATGAGATGAGAATATAATTAAGTTAATCTATTTTATTTTTAATAATTTTATGTATGACATTTTTAATTTTTATTAATAATAAAAATATACTAAATAAATTAAAATTGATCATATATTTATTTTATATTTTCATTTTATTTTTTTTGATTTTTATCTGAAAATTTTATTTATATTTTGATATTTAATATTTATTTAATATTTAATTTTCTGTAAAAATAATGTTTTCTAAGGAAGAAGGTATGTATAAAATGAAAATGGTGTTCCCAACTGGTGAAGACCGGGGGGTTCAGTTCAGTGGTCAGAAGAGACTTTCATAAAATAAAATAGTGTTAGGTCCTGCAGTTTTTGGCATATCGTTACCGAACATGGTTACTCACAATAGGTTTTAAGTCCATTAGCCTATTTCGATATAGGTCTTATACAGCCCGGGCCGAAATAGATAGTTAAACCCCCTTTCCTCGATAAATTCGATCTTTCCCTAGAAATATTATAATTTACAAGTGTTATTTTAGTTCTATGACAAAAAAATAAACAATTCATTTCATTTTTTTTTAAAAAAAAATTACCATTTATTATTTAATATTGGCTTACCATTTGCCAGTGGCACTAAATTAAAAAATTATTGACAAATTATTTTACTCGAAAATTCGAACAAATTATGAATAACGAAAAATGATAATTATCCAAAAAAAAATCTAGGACATCTAAAACATACTAGCAATATGAATACTAATTTGTCTCGATTCATATTTTTCGCATTTTCTATAAACCTTAATTCTAAGGGAGATGATTCGGAATAATGGTGCAAAATAAAATGGCTGCATTTGAACCAATATTTTAAAAAACGGCTAACTCAGAAATACATTGCTTAAGCCTCGAGGATTTAGCTAATAGATGTCAGAATCTTTGTGCCATCTATGGAGCGAATTCTTCAGGGTCGCGTAATTATGAAGCGATTTAGCGTCTCACGTAATGTTGTTTAAAAAAACCTCCCGATTTGGGGCGATCGGCCCGATAAAGATTTTAGTCAAAATTGATATTATGTTAATCCTCGAATTTTGGCGAATAAAAGGAACCAAACCTTTCTGACCATCTTAAACGAGCAAAATCTTCATCCAGGCTTTGTCATTAGTGTTGTTAAACGGCTCGTTTTGAGCCGATTTTTAAAAACGGTTAACTCACTACTTCATTCAGAAAAATATTTCCCAAGCCTAAAGATTATGCTCATAGAAGGAACAAAGGTCTAGATATAGATTATAGAAATCTTGAGGCTTAGTCAATATTTTTCTGGCTAAAATATGACGTTAGCCGTTTTTAAAAATAGGCTCAAAACGAGCCGTTCAACAACACTTATTTGTCATAATATCATTATTTTAACTAAAATCTTAACCCGTCTTTTTAAACAACACTTAATCGTAACTCATAAAGTAATAAGGAAATATAACCAATTTTCTGAAAAAATTTTTTTTACAATTTTTACAAATTTTAAGACCGGTAAATAAATGATTAAATATGGTATTGAATTAATATTTTTTTAAAAAAAACTTACTTAGTTAAAATACTAATAAAACTCATAATATATAGCTAATTTTTAATATTTTTTTTTTTGTAAATATCGTATTTTATTATTTTGGAAATGGTTTTTTCTTTATCATTTAAGACGGAAAATTTAAAAAAACGAAATTTGGCAAAATTTTTATATATTTTATATTTTTATTTTTGGATTTCTTTATAGATGCCTCGTGGTGAATTCATAAAGAGGTTGGTTGGTTGATGCAAGATCCCAAGATTATCTTCTATAATAAATAATAAAATAAAACCTTATACGTGATGATATAAAAATTTCACAAATTACAATTTTTACAAAAAAAATAAAATAAAATATAAAAAATAAATAATCATTTTTATTAAATAAAATAAAATTTTTATTTTTTTTAATAAAAATTTAATCAAAATTATTATAGTTTTTTGAAGAAGGAAAAAAGTTAAAAATTTAAATTCTTATCTTATTTAAAAATAATAATAACATTAAAATGTTAAAAGATAAACATTCTATTTACGTTCTGTTCTCTGAATCCGATTTGATTCCACATCCGGTCTAAATTCTAAAGACTCGAGAAGGTTAGAGTTTTCTTCTGTTGAACCTATGGGGGGTAAGATTTCTCAACATCCGTTAAAATCGAACATTGTTTTTTTTTGAAAATTCGGTTACGGCCCCCTTCATTAATAATTTCCCCGCCATTGGAATATAACTATGATTTTCTCCACTCGAGATTGTATATTTTACCCATAGAATCTTAATTAGTTGACCCTTCCTTACTCCAGTGGGATCTGTATATGACACCAATCGTGTTAAAGTTAATATTACTTGAAAAATGGTAATTCATAAATGATATCAAATCTTCAGTAGCTTCATTAAATCTACACATATAATTATGCAGATGTATACAAAATTTCGTCAATTTTTGGTTAGGTAGTTTCTTAAAATATAAAATTTACAATTTATTTTTGATGAATGAATATTAATTTTTATGAAATGTGCATACAAAGCCCCGTATTGCCTTAGTCGAGTTGTTTAATATCCAATGACATATATAATGCCCAGACTGACGATTCATTCATTAAAATGCATTTTTAAGCGTTGTTAAAAGCAAATCAGCTGGACCCGCCATTTTGGCAACTCTTATGATAATTATTCACATGTTAAAAAATTAAAATTATCTCGATGATCCGGTAATTCTTTAATAAAGTTTGCATCAGATATAGGATTAAATTAGCCTCTCGTTTAAAATTTTAATAATGATCAGTGTAACCAAGATGGCGTCTCCAGCTGATTTGAATTGATGTACAATTTTAATGAATGAATCGTAAGTCTAGGTATTTTGGTAATATCTTATAAAAATTTATCTGAAATATAACATGCCGGGAAAACACGTTTCCGGTAGAAAATAAGGATTTAGATCATTAAAATCTATAAAAAAAAATTAAAATAATTTAAAAAATTGGTTTTGTTTAAAATGCTTTTTTTGCATTTTTTAATAATCGAATTTTGCCATCAAAAGTGTATTTATTCCCTTATGCGTAGAATATATATCTGAGAAATGCTAGTCGTCTTAAGGCCGGCCCGGGTACACGGGCTGGGACTGAAGATATACGGGCCGAGCCGTAGATTTTAAAACCAAATATGAAATCGCCATTATTAGTTATAAAAATCAAAAATAAATATAAGATATTTGAAAAAAAATCCGGATAGGACCTAAAAATGTTGGAAAAAAAATCCGAGCCGGGCTGTACAAATGGTACCTTTGTAGATCTCTGGTATATATATTATTTAAATTTCAAATAATTGAATAGTTTTTTAATTTATATACCACGAATTAATCGCAACATATATAATTATTATAGGCAGGAGTTTAAAGTATCTATTTGAGATCCTAAGGTACACCCTGCCCCGGTTTATCAGATACTTCGAAATTTAAAAAAAAATATTTTTTTACTTTGTAATCCAATCTACAAAAGTGTCACCATTTCTATGAAAGCATTAATCTAAAGGTTTGTTAATTTTATTAATCTAAAATTTTAAAGTGGTTTTTTTTCGTGTTCTCATTCTTTTCAAATTGAAGAAAAAAGTTTAAAAAAAAAGCCTAAAAAAGTATAATAAATAAATATATACAAAAACATATTTTGTATTAAAAAAAAATTTCCATTTATATAGGTTTTTACGACCCTAGAAAATAATCTAATATGAACTAATAATAATAATAATAATAGTCATTAAAAAAAATATATATATATTAATAATTAAATTATTACATAATTTTTAAGAATATATATATAATAAATAAAAAAAATCTTTTTAATTCCTATATACAAATTACAATAAAACTTTGTATAATGAGTGTATTTATTTTAAAAAAATTAGTCGTAGAGGAAATGGCCGATATTTGATTACATTCATTCATGTGATATATAAAAATCAAGCAAGAACCTATCAGAGTTCAAAAGTCTAAATTTGACATTTAAATGACTCCAATACCCCCCAACTAATTTTTTTCATATATAAAAGACAGGCTTAGATGCTAGATGGATTCCAACTATCGTTGTTTAGACTATAACCGGAATCTCGCCTTTATGTTCCAGAACTTTCCCCCTAATCATAAATTATAACAGTAAATATTTAGGTTCTGATTTTTAAACCAAACACATTAAAAGGGACAGTTTTTTGATCTATAGAATATGTCAATTTTTCTCTCAATAGAGTCCAACATTCAGCCTCATAGTAACGGGGGAGTGGCAACATCTTTTGGCGGCTAATGGAGGCCTTAAAGGTCCCCATGTGATCTGGGTCTAGAATAGGATTACCCTCTCCTCGACGGAGTGTAAAAACCCACTTAAAGGGGGGTTGATGTCATGAAGGGCATCCGATTGTAAAAAACCTTGCTACAAAATTTCCCCTATGGTTACAACTAAGCATGAGCGGGCTACAGCCCAAGGTACCCCGTGGGCCTCCCCTCATCCGCCAACGACAAAAAGAAGGATGGGAAACCTGGTGAAACCACGATTCATGAAAATGAAACTTACGACGGCCATAAACGAGAGAGAGGGAGAAAAAATATAGGACTTAAGCTTTCGATCACTCGAAGAACAAAGAGAAATTAGGACCAATCTAACCGTACATTTTCGTTTGATTATTATTTTACTTTACGTTATTTTGATAAATTCTTAGAAACCCTGGTATTCCAATTCTGGATAAAGGTGAGTGCATGTAAGTATGCTTGTATTTTTGCATTTTAATCTCATGATTTAAGAAAATAAAAATTTTGGGGTCGATTTTTCA